AGCAGGGCTTATAGTTTTAAATCGAGACCTCTAATTTCCAGCTTCAGCCATTTCCAGCTTCAGCCGCGACATTAATTTTAGTTTTAATCTAATTCTAAATAAAGATTTTATTTTGTATTTATATATAAAATAGCATTATAATAATATTTTCTTCTATTATTATAAAAAATTTTTTATAAATTAAGTAAGAATTCTATTTTTTATATCTCTAAACTTATTATTTATACCTCTTTTATAGATTTAACTTTTTTTTAAACTTTAAAGATATTTTAACAACTACTACCAAGCCAAATTTGATAAACCTTTTTTTATTTAAATTCTATGAATCTATAAAATTCAAATAAAAAAAAATTATTGAATTTAACCTAGTAATTACTAAGATATCTTCACTCAAAGTTTAAAAAAAATTATATTATAGCTTGTTTTGATAAATATTTTAAATTTTTTTTTGAAAATTTGAATAAAGATATCTCTATAACTATCAAGCCAAATTCAATAAACTTTTTTTATTTGAATTTTATAAATTTATATAATTCAAACAAAAAAAAGTTCATCAAATTTAACTTAATAATTATTGAGATATCTTTGCTCAAGGTTTAAAAAAATTTACACAATTTGTTTTAATAGATGTTTTGATTTTTTTCAAATTTTGAATAAAGATATCTTAATAACTACTAGGCCAAATTCAATGAACTTTTTTTTATAAAGTTATAGAATTCAAAAAAAAAGTTTATCAAATTTGGCTTAATAATTACTAAGATATCTTTGCTCAGAGTTTAAAAAAAAAGTTAAATCTACAGGTGATATGAATAATAAATTTGGGGTATAAAAAATAAAATTATATTTTGACTCGAGTTGGCGTAAAAGATGTTAAGGTTGGGTTTTTAATTTGGGTTACCAAAATTAACTCTTTAGAAACACTATAATGAACATTAAAATTGTTTGAGAACATTAATAATTTAAATTAAGCTCTTTTGAGAACATAAATTTAAATTTGAATTTTAACCACTGATCATAACTCGGTTATCAGGTTACCCAAGGGTAACCCGGGTAATATCTGACCCCAGTTATAGTCTCTAGTTTCAACAAAATAACACTACAAATTGTAACTTGATTTTCTGTACAAGTAAATATATAAGCTGAGTTCTGAATCCAGATTACCCCAGAGTGGCACCACGAAGACGTGATAAATTGGATCTTTGCTTGCAAAATGATTCTTTAGGAATGTAATTTATATAGCATTGAGAGTCATTTTATCAGCAAAGATCCCAAATCCAAAGTTCTGCGAGTGGACATCCGAACTTCGGGGGCTGTTCTGGGGTAATCTTTTAATCACCTATTGCATAATTTTAGGGTCAGTATCAACAAAGACAATGGTTAAAAAAGATTGAAACTTCGTCTCATAAACCTATTCCCTTTCCAAAGTAACGACACATACTTTCACATAATTGGAACAGTCGCAGGACTATTGCTGATAAATGTAACTACAATTTTGTAGATATATATAAATAATTAGTCATTGCATAGTTATATAATGAAAAGTAAATGACCTTGTGTCTCATTGCATAAAAGTCCTGTTTTTTTTTTTTTTTTTATATCATGATCCGTACTTGCAACAATAAAATTTCAAATCCTAGTTCACATTTTTCACACCTCCAGGCTGTAACAACGCATATTTTCTTTTTCTTCTCTCTTTTTTCTTTTGCTCTTTGCTCGGTTCTATATCAGGCTCCCCCTTTAAAATTCTACCAATCCTATGTTTCAACCTGTACATTGGCTCACCTAAGTCTTTGTCCCTCATAGAAAGCAAATATTTATCCAATCCACCTTTTCTGTCCATAATTTTGAGTGCAAGAGGTGTGATCTTGATCGGAATTCTTTCATTAAGCGCTTCCGAATATAATTTAACTTTTTGAACGTTCGGTTTCCAAGTGCATCGTGATTTGTTGCCAAACTCAGAGATTTGGTTACCATGTTGAATGTGTTTGCCGGCATAAAGACCTGTTAGCGCTTGTTTGTAAGTTTGTTGAACCATCCATGGTTGTTCTTTCTTGACCTTTTTAACCTTTGGTTGTTTGAGTGGTGGATCTGGCAAATGGTCTAAGTGCCTGAATAGTTGTGATTTGTAAAGAGAAAAGTGTTTCGTGTATT